AGTCTTCAGGATTAAAGTATTCCTTCTTCCCCACCCCGCTCTGCCCCTACCCACCCCCGGGATGAAACACTGATGTTACTGTGAAGAAATGGATAGGCTATTTGTGTGTAGTCAGTGAGATGCGAGAACTAACACCAATGATATGTTTGTATCAATGGAAGAAGGTAAGAAAGCTGCGCATACATTGAACTGAACATCACTGATCGCTACCAAACTGATAATACATCCACGATAAGTGAGTAAGCGTATCGGGATTTCGTCTAAAGAAGTTGAGCAGTTGTAGCATAGTCAGTGAGCCAGCAAAGAGGAGTTATGCTGAAGAAATTTCTAATGGAACTACTATGTACTTCATAACGACAAGAAATGAAAACATATGGTTAAATGAGACTGAGAAAAAGCCAAACAAACCGAACGAGTCATGTGAGATCTGTGGCAGACTTTGCCGACTTTATTACATTGGAATTCGCACAACAGGGAATATAGCTCTCGTAGAAACCACAGATCTATCACTTGTGGTCACGAGATTGATTGCCTGAATGATTGAGTCATGCAAATACTAACAAGAAATGCTCCTTCTCTCACACACCATTGGTTGGTTATCGACCTATCGGTTGATTGGTTGCCAAGTTCGCAGTTCACATGATAAATGAATCAATTGGCACAAATCTCATTGGCTAACATCTTTCATTTCAGCTCTGCCACCAAATCAGTCGATGGATACGCAGCAAGGGGGCTGGACCAAGACTAATAAGTGAGTCAACGTATGTCGCATCATTAGCAGCAGCAGCAGCAGCAGCAGCAGCAGCAGCAGCAGCAGCACCACCACCACCACCACCACCACCACCAACAACAACAACAACAACAACAAAATGGTGATTACAGTCGATTAACACCCACAAAACGGAACTGCACAATCGTCACACTAAAGAGGTATCGCACTGCCAAACACATTTTCCTGCTAGTATTTCTTTAAATGGCTCATTAACCCAGTTAACAACACAGCTTCATTAAAATCTGAAGGGAAGTGGACCAAAGAGATCGGTTATTCTTATTTATAAGAATAGGAGGTTTACTTAAAATCTATTCATGTGTCCACAGGTTCCATGGAATTCAGATCACCGTTCAGACAAGCTACAAAGATTCCATTTGGAGGTGTTTGGAAGTATCATCAAATGCAAGGAGTCGCTTTCATAGGGCCACGAACTGAAAAACGTGTCCAGTTTGAGGATTGTGATCGGTGCACCAGTGTTGTTTTTAGCGGAGTGATGAAAGGCACGCATAAAAATGCCCATTTTATCATCACATCGGCATAAACACTTTGAATGGATTGCCTGATTCCATACACCAGAGGCAGAGTGAGAATCAGATACCACAGAACACGACTATATATCTCTCTCAACCGACGGGAATGGGTGTTCGTTTGCATGCATATATATATATATAACACCGACAAAAAACTAATATTTCGTTGTTCAAATAATTAATTGGCAGATTTGAAGTTTGTATGTTGATTGTGAAAAGTTCATTAGCCTCGGTGGGATTCGAACCCACGCACGGACGCCGCCTACGCTTTATACGCGCATGCTCTACCAGCTGAGCGACGAGACCACACCGATAGCACTGACCTTTTCACCTTCGAATTTACCCATCCAACTTACAGAGGCATGTGGCTACTGAACTTTTCACAATCGACATACAAACTTCAAATCTGCCAATTAACTGTTTGAACAATTCACCTTGTCTTAGAAGCTCATTCGGTGGAGTCCGGTGAATTCTAAGGAAAACCTATCGGGGCAGTCAGCTTACATGCTAACTGGTGGATGCCACATGCCTCTGTAAGTTGGATGGGTGAATTCGAATGTGAAAAGATCAGTAATATTTTGTTGACACACATCATTCTATCGGATAGTATTTGTTATTTCCGTGGTTGAGATTGCTTTTACGAGTATTTGGGGGGTGGGGGTGGGTGAGGGGTGACGGGAGGAGAATGGTCCTTTCGAATGAAAAGATTTGTTATGTTAGATGGGGACGGACTGGATGAATGGTTATAATTTTGTCGGGGCAGAAAAATAATCATCGATCCGGTTCATTTGTTTGTTCTCTTGTAAAATATACAGTCAAGTTGGGAATGTGGCCAACCGATTGATAATCCCTGAAAGCTCGTACAACTCTGAGCTACATAAGCTGATCATACAGGCTTTCTTTCCAAGATGCTTTATGGTTGTAAAGATCTATTTCTTTTCATACTCGTCTGAGGCCAGACTGTGGGCCAAACAAATCATAGCTATACTCACGTGACGAAATACTAACCAGAAGATAAACACTATCCAATGGTAGTCGGAATAAAGATCACGTTCCCTGTACTGAATTGCACACACACATGCCAATAAGCACCTAATAATCGATCCTTTGTCCACAGTTTTCTTTGGTTCGTGATTACCAAGCTCGACAGATCAATGTGTGCTCCAACGTTCGTCTGTATTCTACACTTTTGAAAGGAATACAGAGATGATCAACCATCATTTGTTTCGTCACTATGTAAATTAGTTCCTGTAGTGATGTTCGACTGTTCATGCATCTGTTGAATATGCGTGAATACCTATCATTCAGCAAGTAAGGAGCCACTGCATCAACCAGGGCTCCCTTTGATCGAAATCAACCAATTACTCGCAACTGAGTCCAGGGTCATTGAGAGACCAGAAAACAGGCTTGGTGAGTTGAAAGTGTAAATGCTGGCAAACGGAACAACATGGTCAGTCAGCTAGTTCGGACAACCGTACAAAATGCACTGTGTATAGTTCTGTCAGGCATTTAGAACACAATAAACAATAACATTACTAATGCAATGCCTCGAGAATAAGAATTTTCCTCTCTGCTTAATAACCAATGCTTTTATTTACGCGATTTCAGGCAAAATCTATGGGTTTTACCTTATCTGAAACTAATGTGAAGGAGCGGGAACTTCTCCGACTGATCGCTGGTTCACGGCTGTCAAACACAAACGTATTGTACCACTCACAGTAGAACCCAAACTGGTTAAGACAGAGGGAGAGATAGAGGAAGGGAATAACACGTCCCTGAGCTCAGAAACTTCCTATTATGTGATAAGAAGAAATCTCTGAACCGCGTCAAGCATCTAATTGATGCCACACGTTGGTTCTGCACGTGATCGATAGACACAGCACCAAAACTACCGGTACGCCTTGCGAACTCAGCACGCGTTCTCATTGAAACACAAAGGATGTTATGAATATGAAACGTGTACAGCAAGTGTATCTCATAGCTCAAACATGAGTCAGTCTTTGTGAGTTTTTAAGGCTCGATTGAACAGTTGATTGATTTTTCCTCCACATACATCTCAATTGGCCTTGAAAAGTCTCAAGTTTCCGTTGCATACCTACAGTGATGAAGATAATTAATATATATATATATATGTGTTCTGTATTAGAGTGAATTCTTGATCAAATTTCTAAAATGTTTTGGAAGAACAGCTTTTGAATTTCGGAAATCGTTACCCACCTCTTTACCACACACCAAAAGAGGCCCACCTAGGATAACCAAACTTTGCATGCAGTTAACTGACATGCGCACATTAAAAGACCGACGTTTGTTTGGGATCACAGTGAAGATTCATACGTTTTAGGGGTGACTGGATTTCCTGCGAATATTGAGAAATCAACTGCAATGAGTGTTCATATTCAGGTCGCCTTAGGGGGGTAATCGTGAAGATTGGGCATCACTATGAATGGTCGATAAGGCGACTGTTCTAAAAATTACTTTCATGGGAATTAGCGTCTCGCCCACCGGAGAAATAACAGTCAACGAGAGCAAATATAAACACACCCTCAGAATGGAACAATACCCAGTTCAATTTGGTGAATTATACTTCTCGTAATAATCATAATCATTACTGTACAATGAACTACAGTAAAACAAACTTCACGGATTGTTACCAAGCTCAAACTGCACACAAACTAGGTGAGAATGATTAGGACAGACAGTGGCCGGGCCTTTTGGGAGATGCGGGAAAACAAAGTCAATCTATGGGATCAGAAGGCCTTAGTGCATAATTTAACCATGTATGCACACATTTTCACACATTCTAACCTGATAGTCAGTGGCAGCAAGAACTCCACTGATATCGATTGGCTTCCATATCCTTGAGTGTCTCCAACTAACCAGTTATAGCGTCTCTTGGACCCGAATACGGAAGACAACTAATATATCCAATCGCTCTAAGCATTTTACCATGCCTCGTTCCGACGTCATCTGTTGATCTCTACATGATTCGTCCCAACCTGGAGCAACAAATGTGAACAAGGCGCAGTGCGATAGACGACAGCTGACCCGGTGAGATGGGATGGTTTTCACTGTTCTTTATATCGTAAACTTCAAGCGGTGAACAGTACATTCACGAAGGTCCATTTTTTGGCCGTGGGAAACGGTAACACTTACAGTTAGAAAAGATCGTTAGAGGTTGATTATGCAACCACGTTCGAAGTATGTCCCGGAGACTATACTCTATGCGCCCAGAATCTCCATAAATTTGATTCAGTTCGGGATGAGGGAGATATTAGTTTGGTAGACAGCTTTGCACATTACCTAGAGTAGTTTTCAACATTGGAAAATCAATAAAAATAATAGCCTGGAATGATTAAATGGATTTGCTATAAGCGTGGAATGACAGTGAGGAAATGTGGAACCAATGATAAACGGAATTGCATTCCTTGGTTAAACCGTTTCCCATCGATTGTGAAGAATTGGACCGGCTGAGCGCTGGCTTGTTCAGTAAGCATACTCCATAGGATGCTAACATGTCCTCATTGAAAAAAGCCGGAACTAAAAGATGGTTGATGTTTAATGCCAACTACTAAGCGGAAGTTTAGGGCAATTAGAAAAGTAACTCAACAGTAATCGCTTGTCTAGCAACATGTCGACGTGTCGATGGCTTTCTGACTAACTTTCCCAGTTCTCTTTCCCCAAGAAAATGAAACTACATCGAGGCATTTGGAATTGCAAGAGCCAAATAATCTCGTGATATTACACTTTTATTTGCATGTTACAAAATGAATGTTCAATCTGTGTGAAAGTTTTGTAAGCCGAAGGTTTTCTATGGACAGTCAAAGTTCCTTGAGGTTGAAATATGTATATCAGTGTATCTAACTAGACTGACTCGCTTGTCCGAGTCGAGTGCACCGTCAACAATTTGCATCATATAGCACATTTCCACTTCAACCATTGTAAAATCAAGTCGATTGTTATCCTAGTCTGACAACCGAAGAAGTGCCTTTCGTGCAGTTTTAGATGGAATATCTGGTATTGGGCTGACAGATTCGTGTAATATGGGCAATGGACCTAAATATCCCCTTGTGAATGTTTTCAATTATGACGCTTAATGTGCTGTAACCCAAAAAGGATATCGTGGTACGGATTTTGTATTAGACCACTAACTGTAAAAATACTAGTTAGTCTTGAATCTATTTTGGAAAATGTTTAAAAAAAACCCAGAAATTTCTATCCTGATTCTTTGTTCATGCTTCATGACTCGTTTTTAACAGCTGGTACTTTCCACAGAGTTCTGTTGAACGACCATATACAACTTTGCGTACGACTATGCTGATGCAATTCTAAGGAGGTCTATTTTGATCCCGTTGGCGGTTGCTTTGACGGTACTAAATTCCCAGTTATTTCCGCGTGAACGAATTCTATTTATTGTTCCCGAGAGAAGTTTGAATATCATAAATGTTTGATTCTCATATCATCGATTTTTCTTAAACCCACACACGAACCGCCGATTGATTACGTAAATGCGCTTCCTCTATATGCGTAGTCACTACTTTAGAGTTTCGCATATAAATATATACATATATATATTATAGGTGAGCAAACACCTTTTGGTTTCCAAAATATACCCGGGCTGTTGGCTACTTGATCTGTCACATGTCACACGCCCTGCATGTCAACGAGTATGGCATTTGCATTCGATCCAGTTTACCAATGAATTGTGATGAATGACTCAACCGGATGAACGAGACGGAGTACTGCTTAGGAATAGATTCGAAATTAAATGGTAGCTCTGGAGCACGGCAAAATCGGACCGCAAAGCAAAGCTCCATAACTAACCCACTTTTATCGCAAGCGGGTATTACGCGTTCGGTGTTGATTGTAATTTGTACATTTAGTACCAATCAAATGGTACAGTCATTACGATTGAGACTGTATGTACTTGTGTTTATGTCTGACTGCAGTCTCGACACGACGCAATGCTGCTGCAATAGCGTGATGGTTTACAGCATTCAAGCTTAAGAAGTTTTACATGACTCATTTAACTTTGAGTGTTCTTCACGGTGATGGTGGTGGTAGTATTTAGGGGTGTTCCAGGTTTCATTTGGAACCCTAACACTTGAAATCCAGTTTAAATGGTGGGCAGTTTCGCTATAATCTGGCCCAATGTCGGATCGGTATGTCATGGATCCAGGTCTCAGATTACCGGTTCAACAGATCAATCGTAACCGCAATGTTCTTCCAGGTCTTGGGGTCAAACAACGTATCAGAAATATGCAATTAAATGATCATTCAAAGAGTTAAGCCTGTACACTAAAAATTAGAATAAATGCCCTTAGATTTTGCATTTCCAATCCGGTTAGGAATTTTCCCGACCGAGTAATTACCCCGGAGGCTAGTGCGGAGATACGTGAGGTGTGACGACCACAATAAGCTTGCAGAAATGAATTGTACCATAGTGTGAATAAGCGAAATGAAAACCGGTCTGATCAGCTGCTCTCTGGCAAACTAGAAAGTGATCATGCATTCTACCAGATAGGCTCAAACGAACCAGTCCACCGATGCATTTACGTTTCGTTCACATATGCATTTTCGGCCTGTCCAACGCCAAGAATCAATATCACCAACCCTTCACAACCACGCCGCATTTTTTTCGGCCTGCAAAGACGACAATGACAAAAAAACAGCACGTTTTCTAATGTAGTTCACATTCTTGTCGAACGACACCAGGGAGAGAAAAAAAGAATATGACTGTTTAGATGATTCAAGTGGTGTCAGCTTACCGTCGTTTTGTAAATATCTACCGCAGAAGTGAGACGGAAAAGACCAGGCTACGGATTTCCCCCTTGTATGAGACCAGAGAAACGATTGCCGCGTCATGAATTTGAACTCTTCATTTCGCTATGTTTCGACAAATGGTCAAATTGGTCAATACTAGAGATGCAGCGCACTCTAGTATCCTAAATGCATCAGAGTTTTGCTACAACCGAGTCCTGAAAGTGTCCTAATCAAGTTCTTCCCCTCAAACTCGTCACAGAACCTTACTCGCAAGCGGTTGCAGATTACAGATTAAGTTCCCATAGACTGGAGTTTTGGATCCAGGTCAGTTTGTTTGAGGGATAAGTGTCAAACATGTTTATGATGTGTCACATGATGACTAAACTCAAACCGGTATAGTGTTTGCATGCGTAAGAGCGCTAATCTAAAAGCATTAGGATCTACTGGCGGCTGGATATTCATGTCACGTGACACTACAGGAGAAGAAAACGAGGTGATAGAATAATGAACAAACACAAAAAATAGAACTTACAGTGACAAGAAGAACCGATGGTTAGTCACATAAGTAACATACTTTAAATCACATTTATGACATCTACAATCAATCAATGACGGGGTCGAATGGGACGATTGGGGCAGTTCAACTACCCAAGCTGATGCTGTCAAAGTGGTTTAAATAACCAGTAATCCAATACCATACTATGCAAGCAGTCTGAGAAATAGCTGGCAGGCAAGGATACTGAACTAAGTGATGAATCAAATCAAATCCTCTTGGTTATCCTGTCTAAGAGAGAGAGAGAGAGAGAGAGAGAAATTGCAGACCGAATGAACCCAGCTGACCGAAACAACCTCAGGATGGGACAAGAGAGCGATGAACACAGACCAGTAACAGAGTTGTAGAGTTGAATAAGCACAGTTTAAGGCAAATAAGTTGCGATTCCACTGCACATCGACGAAAAATAGGACTTACATATGTCACGGTGTGATGCACATAGATCGAAAGAAATGCATAAATTCCACAGTTCGATCTAGTTCGGCACCGATCGCGTGTGCTTTAGTGTCGTAACGTGTGCCCGGTTGATAAAGTGTCTCCACCGGTTTGTTGTTGTCGTTGTCGTTGGGATGGTGTTCGTGATGATGATAGTGTTGCGCACACGCGTTACCAAATTGTTTCGCCAGGCCGAATTACGAACGCAAGCGACGGAGAGATAGATAGATAGATAGATAGGTGGTCAATGGATAGGCCAATCAAGCGCGCATGAGCCTGTGCTTGATCACGTGATTCAACCAAACCTATCATGAGCGCGTGATGCGTGCACACACGCTCTGGCGGTTAACAGATACATACATGCACATACATCAAAGCACTTACACACCAGCGTAGGTGCAGTATGGTGTACTGCATTTGGAGCACCAATTCGGGAACGGGAACAGACGTATCAGCGTGCGACCCGATTATCGCCAGCTCGACACACGCACCTACACACAGACAGACGCATACACATATGTGAACATACGTCCACACTCGTTTGAATCGAGACTGATGCGCAATTTATACGAATGATATGCGGTGTGTGCTTGTGACTGCGTCTTGCGGTATACCGGTACCTATTTCGATGTGCGACGTTTACCTCTCTCTGACCTTACTCGAACAAAGGTGGTTAGACTCTTGGTAACTTTTGTGGTTAGCACACTTTTTTACAGCGATTAATCCTCATGGGCATTAGACTCAAAGGCTGTTTCACAATTTTCAATTATCGACCTCATTGGGAGAGTGTGACATGCTGTCGCGATCTCCTTTTGGTCGAAAAGCCATCGACGACCCTGGGAAGTGATGAAACGGAACATTCGTGTATTTTTACGCTGAAAATAGCTGTCATGATCCAAAAAAGTGTTTCACGGATAGCGATTTTTACAAATACTTTACGCTACTCATTAGTTTATCAGTAGGTTGTGTTGCAAAACGTAAAAATACTGTATGAGAAACGTCGCGCTTACACTACATGGCCACTTCAGTTCACACATTTGGTGTGAAAAACGAAAAGGAAATAGGGGTGGGGGGGAGGGGGGATTGGCTGATTGAAATCATCTAAAAGTTAGTTCATTATGATCCTCCCTTTATAAACGTATCGTCACACGTTTAATTTTATACAAAATGGTATTGAGAAAACGAGTCGGTGAGTGAACAATTGTTTTCGGATATTCCTGGTCATGCTCTTACATATCATATAGTGGAAAAGATTCTTACATAATCATAGCCATTGGCTCATTTTAAATGGTATATCAGGATTTACAATTGGACATATTCAAGTAGGTCCTAGTCGAAACCAGGAGATAAAATTTGCAAATATTCACAATAGGTTGCTGGATAAATTAAAGCCAACTCTACGGCACAAATAAAGACGTACAACTCCTCTTATTGATCCGATCAGGTATGAGTGAATTGCCACTGACTACTACAAATACGTTGTTGAATCTATCTAACCACTAATGTTTGAGGATTGCGGTTACAGTGCAGAAGAGCTTTGCTTGGAATGCACATGAGCACACACGAACTGACGCATGTATTCGAATCAGAGTGAATAAGCCTGAGTTGACCAAAATACTGCGTTGTGAGTGACCCGAATGGGGCACCGTAAACAAAACCCAAACGATGACGCTCCTTGTTGGGCCAACAATCGCCAAAGCGAGGATGCCACCAAACGCAGAATGCCGAATGGAAACCTGGAAACAGAATTAAACGGTTTTACTATGAGTATGTGTGCATCAGCACGAGTTCAGGCTCTTGTGAAATGTAAACAGAAGAATAATGTGAGAGACAGTGGCTAGGGTTATGACCAATAGCAAATTTTGCTCAACCAACTCAAACAATAGCGAATAAATCCATCGATTCCAGTCATCAGTGGTGAACGTAAAGAAAGTGCTGATGCTCGAAAATGGCCAAACTGGCTGTTTTCTCGTATTTAATGGAAAATGGGTATGATTGTCAAAGCCTAAAGACCTTTGATTTGGAGGAACCGATCAGGAGTGATTATGCTGCGAAGTGGATCCATGCCAGAAAGGTTCACTGAATAGGCCTTCAAGTAACCTCCAAGGGTAATCTGTAGATCGACGTGTCTTCGGTGCTCCTGGCAAAAGCCAGAGCTTCGTTTGCCTGACATAACGCCAAACGATTCAATCATATAATCCGCAGAACTGGAACGTTCAAAACGCAATCAATCTGCCGTGTGTAGTTTCTTGTCAGTCCTTATGGTATGGCAAACAAATTCTAACTAGGAATAATCCCATGTGACGTATTATCCATTTCCGAATCCATTGGCATCTGTTATTCATCAGAATAATGTTAAAGTTTATGAAATCGAAGCAACGTATCATGAATAGTATCGGTACCTCTAACTTTCTCGTCGAAATGTTCAGCTACGTTTTCTGTGTGAAACGGGAATAACCACCCAGGTCGTCAGTTCTATGGAAACTACGTTTTTCTGTTTTTCTGGCAAGAAGAAGAGTATAACCACAAGAAAAATCTATTTAATCAGATATCAATCTTGTTCGGCTTGCCTGCCACATACGTGTATTGTGAACCAGCCTGCGTTGGTTGACGGTGCGAGACCCAGAACGCTCTGGATGTCCTGACAGCACGAACGTGAACACAACACGCCAGATTCCATAAATTAACGAGGCGCGAAATAAACACGCTAAATTACGTGAACGCAAAACGAGATTGCAATAGGCACTTTTCGTGTTTTTGACCGCAGCCCACGTAAGATGATGGAAGGTTTACACGATTGGATCCACAGCCGTTTGATAACTGACAGAGCACTAATTTGGGGGTGTTGATGTTTCTGCATCTCAACAGTATCCATTGTGTTAATCACCTTGAACCTACTCAGAGTAGCTTTGCAGTACTCCAAACTTGACGGCACATTTATACATTTGAGTGTTACAAAAAAATTCCTTGATCAGTATAGTTAGGTACATCAGCTTAGTCTCAAGTACCGGGCGGGTATAAAGGTTTGTTGATAGTTAATATTTATTTGAAAAGCTCCTGTACTCTCATCAGTACGCAGCTCCTGGAGGTATCGATTTGCTTGTGATAGTTCGAACAGGCGTGTTTTGGAGATACTTTTAGTCATTTCAAATGGTTTTTGAGGCATCGACTTACAACATGTCTTTGTGGCACACAGGTGTTCACAATCCAATCGTGTGACCATGGATTTCATTTGAACTCCAAGTAGTCGTAAATTCAATAATTCGTTGATTTTCCGAAATAGCTTTTGGTTGCAATAGCGAAACGAGATCTGTGGCAATAAAATTTGTAGTATTACCCCGCCACACATGTAACATTCCGTTATTTAATTCTATTGTTCTATCGGTCAAGGTCACCTGGATGGTCACCACGTGTTTATTCTTACCACCTGCACGCCTACTCACTTACGTGTTTCTCTCCGTTTCCTTTTCTTTCAGTTTTACTACAACGCAACCGTGTTCTATTTTTGGTGTCATCTCTCTCTCTCTCTCTTGAAAACGCTTAAATGTGCGTTTACTCGATAATCGTGTAATCAGAAGATCTTAAGAAAATCGCCCAGTAATTGATGAGCTTTCCCCCAGTCAATACAGGTCGGTGCATCATTCAGCTGACTACCAGCTATTTACTATTTAGGGTGATACGGGAATAATTACATTTGTCGTTTCGGAAAACAGATGAAATTATTTAACTTTCCTACAAACTTCCATCACAGCGAAGGTTTTTAAGAGTTTCTTGTGGAAATTTTGCTTTAATTCTTTGGTGAGATCTTTAATTTTGCGCATTGCGATAAAACGAACGGACCGAACTGACCAACATTTTCATCAATGAACTCTATTTTCCTTGGAAAGTAGTAGAATTGCGGGATTAATGTAACAACCAGAATCAAAAGGTCCATAAAAGAACGTATGATCCATACGGACTGTGATATCCTACTATGACTTTTACAATTATCTGCCGCCAGTGTGATGGTTAAAACAAAAGCTGGTATTTGTGTGTTCGCGTACGGAACTGGTGTCCCCACTTTTTCGCAGTTGGGATTGTGGGCGACAGGTGAGATCGGATTGCCAGGATAATGGCACATCCGTTGCAGCTGTTTCAGGTCGAACTGTTGTTCAATTTCCTACACGTTGCCGAATCTCCACACTCGCATCCCACTTGAGTATCTGCTTTCAAATTTCCTTTTTACTTTATTTACAATACAGTTTATGTCTGTACTTCTAATTATCTCGGAACTATGTCAAAATGACTCACAATTACGTCGAAACTATTTCGAATTGTCACGTGATTAGTTGGTTAAACTTGACTTCCGATTGCTCTCTGAGCGAGGGCGACAACCCATTGCCTCTTCTGTGTTTAGAGATGATCTGTGCCTTCTCAGCCGTCGTACTGTTCTGCGGTGTGCAAAGACGCGAGAATACGCGCAAGCCCCATTTTTCACTTGACCCGGCCTCTGAAGATATGTCCGGACGAGAGCTTTTGATCTTATTGAACAGAAAAATTAAATGTGATTCAATTGTCGCCTTAGTGCCGAAATGATGAAGATTGCAAATTCGCTGAAGGCTATGACAGGCTATGACATGCACTGAGCGAGATGCTCCAAAGCTGAACCATAGTTGCAGATCCTACGGAAAAGGATTTCCCAGGATCGAAAATGAATTTCGAGATATAATGATGGTGAAGCGATGACCGAAGAGGAATTTGTGGAGGCGTTTGACTGTCCAATATACAACCAAGCTTTCGTGATGAGTTTGTTTAGTGAGTAGCACTTGGAATAGTGATTCGTATACGCATCAGAATCCGCGCAGTAAAAGTCCGACTCAGAATAAGGACTCAAAATGAACCCAGAACCCAGAACTCAACAACGGAACCGAACGGAAAGTCGGAATGTACGAGAATATTATGTTCAATAAAACAGAGGAGTAAATAGTTCATGAGCAATCACCATATCCGCCGCAGCTTGATTGAAGTTCCGGTTTTCTGTAATCATGTCGGGCTTTGTTGAGTACTCGTTCGGATGTTTTGGGTTTTCCAGTACTATTTTCAACATTCGTACATGAAAAAAGACTCAGAAATAACAGGATTAGTAGGTTCGCGATTATCATCAGGACAGAGCAGTTCACAAATTACTTGGTCTGGGATGAGTAGAACCAAAGTCAAGGTTCAATATTCGATATAATCTTTGTCCCATGTGCTTCAGTACCATGCCTATGGAAGGGCGTAAATCGTTACCACGATGATACACGACTTCCGCAGACTCCAAGCGTAGAAGATTTGTTCAAAGGACTCAACTGTTGAACAGAATTGTTGGACTGGGCCCCGTAGTTGAATGTAATGCGTTGCGGTATTGCATCAGAAAGTTATCAACGCCTCTGTCCGGCTCATCGGATTTACTGAGATTCACAGAAGTAATGACACTCTTTAGCGTGCGCACAAAGTTTTTCGCTGCACCATTGAATTATGGATGTCGGTGTGGAGGGAGAACATGCCGGAAACTCACAGAGTTCAATCAATGGGTAACTTTCATAGCAGTAAAATGACTTTCATTATCAATCAAAATAGCATGCGGGACACCTCTACTGAATGTTCCCTGAGTGCTCGAATGCACTGTGTGATGCAGACTGCCGCCCAGAGGGAAAAGGAATCGACGATCTTCAATGCGTAATACTTGTTGAAGAATGGACCACAGTAATCCACATGTATTCGTTGCCAGGACTCGCAAGATACTGGCCACGGAGTCCATTTCGAAGGCTGTCTGTGAGTTGTCACATGTATTCGTTGCCAGGACTCGCAAGATACTGGCCACGGAGTCCATTTCGAAGGCTGTCTGTGAGTTGTGTGCACACATTCAGCACAGGATTTCGCAACACGATTCAGATCATGATTCAATTCAGGCCACCAACATGTGAGACGAACAAGAGGTTTCATCTTTTCAATGCCGAGATGACCGGAATGTAAGTCATTACGAACAACAATACGTATTGTCGGAGGGACGATAATGCGATCGTTGTAGCACAAGACGACATCGCACGACACAGAAATTTCCTCACGACGATCATAGAATTGCGGAAATCGACGCTTAAATTCACTTCGTCAACCTCGACGGACACAGGAAATGATGGCGTGGTAATATTTCCTGGTCTCGCAAACCAAATCAGATCGGCTTACTGGGAGCGGTTGAGTGAATAGACAATCACTCGTAGAAGCCTCCTCTGAATTGGTGTAGCGCGATAGATAGTCTGCGTGCGCAATGGACTGAACCCTCCGATGATAGATGTCGTAAGAATAGGCAGACAAAGCAATACTCAATCGTTGTACCACGGCTGCAGATGACTTTGCCAGAGAATGTTGAAGGTTATAAATGAACAGAAAGGCTTCATGATCACTCGCAATAGTGAAATGAGTACCATAAAGATACTTGTGCATACGCGTGACAGCCCAATAGACAGCTGGAGCTTCTCGTTGAGTTTGGGAATACCCAAGTTCGGCAGCTGTGAGTCTGCGTGAGATTCACAGCACCGGATGACCAATCTGCTCCAACACAGCTCCAATTCCAACAGGTGATGTGTCCGTGATGACAATCGAATGCAATCATGGGGAAAAGGACGTAATACGGCACTGGTAGATAAAAAGAAATTAGCTTCTTCAAGGCACGTTTATGGACCGAAGTACACCGAAATGTTTGGTGTAACTGTAAATCGAACAATGGAGCAGCTTGGATTGAAAAGTTAGGGATAGACTTGGAATAGTAAAGAACTAATTAAAATCGAAGTTCATGAAATGACTTGGGAGATGGAGCATTAGTCAACGTAGAAAATCGATTAGGGTCAGGACGAAATCCGGATTCATCAACCAAATAACCTAAACAAGAAAGTTCAGTCGTAGCAAAGGTACATTTATCAGGGTTAAAAGAAACATTATGAGAACGGAATCTTTCAAGCAAGGCACACAAACGTTCGTCATGTAATTGTCTGCTAGGCTCAATAAGAATAATATCGTCCTGATGGGCACATACAACTTGTAAGCCAGAAATGATGGAATTAATAGTAGTTTGAAAGTAAGCTGGGGAAACACTGAATCCAAATGGTTGAAAGTTGTAGCGAAGTAAACCAAAAGGTGTGTTAATAGTCGTGAGTTCACGGGACTTTTCATCAAGAGGAATTTGAAGAAACATATCTTTCAAGTCTAGACTAGAGAAAAATTTGGATCCATGAAGTTGGTGAAGAATATCTTTTGGTTCGACGTTGGGACAACTAGACTGTTTCAGGTGTCTGTTCACAGTAACTCGATAATCCCCACATATCCTAGGAGTCTTCCCGTCACCTTTTAGTGGAGTA